TTAAGGCTGTAACCCTGTACACACACATGGGGGAGGAAGTTCCATGAATTTAATTTTGTTACGTTTGGTTCACATGCATGGGATTCTGCTGCAAGTTCACTTAAAGCACTGGACATGCTACTTCATGCAGTGTCAGACTGCGGCCCCAAACCTGGATATTCAGCATGATCTATCCAAAGCAAAGCACTTTAAAATCTCATTAATCTCAATGGAGGATTTAAATACATTCTTAAATGCTTTCAGCTGAAATTAGTGGAGCTTGAAAATGCTCTGTTTGGCTGGATTGTACAAACTATTTATACTAATGCCCCACAAAAACAAGTCCCTTGAGAAGGCTCTCTTAATGAAGGCTGCAATCCTAACTATGTCTACTCAGAAGTAAGCCCTGTTGAACTCAGTGAGGTACCGAGTTAGGATTACATGTTGTAAGAACAGTAGGAGAGGGCACAGAAAGAAGAAATGTTGCAAACTAATATTGTTCCTTTCTTTAAAGTACTGAATGAATTATCTCTTACTCCAGTGAGCTTACTAACATGTCTAATGATTAAAGTACATCCCTAAGGTAAAGGTAAAGGTACCCCTGCCCGTACGGGCCAGTCTTGACAGACTCTGGGGTTGTGCGCCCATCTCACTCAAGAGGCCGGGGGCCAGCGCTGTCCGGAGACACTTCCGGGTCACGTGGCCAGCGTGACATCACTGCTCTGGCGAGCCAGCGCAGCACACGGAACGCCGTTTACCTTCCCGCTAGTAAGCGGTCCCTATTTATCTACTTGCACCCAGGGGTGCTTTCGAACTGCTAGGTTGGCAGGCGCTGGGACCGAGCAGCGGGAGCGCACCCCGCCGCGGGGATTCGAACCGCCGACCTTTCGATCGGCAAGCCCTAGGTGCTGAGGCTTTTACCCACAGCGCCACCCGCGTCCCTAGATGTAACCTAATGACCATTTGAAATCAGCAAGCATGTTATTTGCCAGCAACACTGGTGTCAAACTGCACAATATCATGGTTTGTGAGGCTATGTTGATATGTGATGATAACACTGCTGGGAGCTTTCCAAAATACTTCCACCTAGTCCTAAAGGAGTTCTTAAGGTCAATGCACATGACCAACTGTGTATAGAGGTTATTCAGGCATCAGACAAAGCTGCATCTGGCGAGCCAGCGCAGCACACGGAACGCCGTTTACCTTCCCGCTGGTAAGCGGTCCCTATTTATCTACTTGCACCTGGAGGTGCTTTCGAACTGCTAGGTTGGCAGGCGCTGGGACCGAGCAACGGGAGCGCATCCCGCCACGGGGATTCGAACCGCCGACCTGACGATCGGCAAGCCCTAGGCGCTTAGGCTTTAACCCACAGCGCCACCAGCATCCCTGAAATCCATTCTTACTTTTCTTACTTTTATGTTATTTTAATCAGTTTTACTGTGCACTACTTTGAAAGTGTCAGCTAAAAAAGCTCACAAAGAAATAATAAATTTGAGCAGGTTGCCACTTAGCCCATATTTTAAAAGGTGGTGGTGAAGAGTTTGCAGTTCATGCTTGTGGGAAACAGTTCCACCAGCTTCTCTGTGATGGAGGTATGCTGTGAATATTCCTGACTTCTGCAGATCAACAAGATTAGCAGATTATTCTTATCACACTGGCAGCCTGTCACCCTGCATAAACCCCAGAAGTCTGCATATATTTGGACTGGGAACAATGTGTATTTAAGCCAGTTGTGTACATTCACAATGATGTGCAATTTGGGAATGATAAAAAAATTGTATCAACACAAAATCACGTACCTGCTTAGCTAGTAAGCATTTTTGAATATAACACATTGGTATTGGGAAAGGCATAACTGCAAAAAGAAATAAGGTTTTGTATATCCATAGTATATCCATATCCAGTGCAGGATGGAAAATCAAATCAGCCAGTCACATACGGAGTGGTCCAGAGAATCAACCTTTGGGGCCTGTCTATATTGCGAATATAAACCAGTTTAAAATCTGTGGAACCATCATGACCAGACATCCCACCTCCAGTTATTTCACTTTCCAATATTAATTATGGGTGCTACATGCCAATGAAAGAAATAAGATCCACAGATTATCACAAGACTACAATTCCCAGAGTTCTCTGTGGGATGCCATGCTAGTTAACCTAGCTTTGAGATTTTGTTACAATTTGTAGTACAGCTATGCCCCGAATCAGAACAAGCAATTCAGCCCTTAGTTTTCCACTGAGATTTTAAAACATGTATAGTAGATTATGGCTGTTTATGGTGGATTCCTGTCAGTTTTAATTCTCCAAAGAAATCTGAAGCACATTTTTAAGCAGAACCATCCTTTTGCTTTAAATCCTTAAATGAGCAGCTTAGTGCACTGGCTACTCTTAAAACTATGGGGTGGGACCACTTTTCACATCACCTGGAACGCTGTGATTTCTGCCAACTCTAAAGGTTGTCTTACTTTAGCTCCAGGTATCAGACATTTCCCCCACCCTCCTGTCTTGGGTTGAGTCTGTGTTTATGTGCCAAGCTGATAAGGCCCATCACATTAGGACACATGTTGCCAGTGTGACAGAAAACCATAATATCTATTAATATTTCCCAGAGTGATGTGTGATTGGAGCCTTAGTGGTGGTTGAAACTGCACTTTTCAAGAGCGTAAGCCAGACCTGAGTACAGCGGTACCCCGCAAGACGAACGCCTCGCAAGACGGAAAACCCGCTAGACGAAAGGGTTTTCCGTTTTTGAGGCGCTTCGCAAGACGAAGTTCCCTATGGGCTTCCTTCGCAAGACGAAAGCCCATAGGGAAATCTCCGGGACAGCGGGGAAGCGCCTCCGCTGTCGCCCGCCAGCATTTTAAAAAGCCCCGGGACAGCGGGGGACTTCTCTGCTGTCCGGGGCGATCTTAAAATGCTGGCGTGCGGGAGCGAAGCCTCCGCTGTCGCCCGCCAGCATTTTAAAAAGCCCCGGGACAGCGGGGAACTTCTCCGCTGTCGGGGCGATCTTAAAATGCTGGCGGGCGGGATCGAAGCCTCCGCTGTCGCCCGCCAGCATTTTAAAAAGCCCCGGGACAGCGGGGGACTTCTCCGCTGTCGGGGCGATCTTAAAATGCTGGCGGGTGGGAGCGAAGCCTCCGCTGTCGCCCGCCAGCATTTTAAAAAGCCCCGGGACAGCGGGGGACTTCTCCGCTGTTCCGGGGCAATTTAAAAGCCCCGGACCATGCCCCGATGCCGGGCGGCGGACGGGAACGCCTCCCCCCACCGCCCGCCATCGGGACCATGCCCTGATGCCGGTGGACGGGCGGGAACGCCTCCCCCCGATGCCGGGGGCGGGGCCGCGAAGCCTGGGCGCGCTGATCTCAGCGCGCCCAGGCTTTGGCATGCCGGCAACTCTCCGCAAGCTGCGGCAGCGCTGCCGCTGCTTGCGGAGAGGTCCGCGAACCCTGGGCGGACATCTTTTGAAGGCAGGGGGGGAGCAAAGACTTTTGCCCCCCGCCAGCCTTCAGAAGAGGTCCTGGACCTCTTCTGAAGGCCAGCGGGGGGCAAAAGTCTTTGCTCCCCCCTGCCTGCCTTCCCGGGAGAGCGGAGAAACGCAGCACTTTTCTCCGCTGTCCCGGAGGGCTTTTGAATGCAGGCGGGGGGAGCAAAGACTTTCGCCCCCCCCCAGCCTTCAGAAGAGGTCGGGGGACAGACTGTCCCCGGACCTGGTCTGAAGGCGGTTTCCCTAGGAACGCATTAATTGATTTTCAATGCATTCCTATGGGAAACCGTGCATCGCAAGACGAAAAACTCGCAAGAAGAAAAAACTTGCGGAACGAATTAATTTCGTCTTGCGAGGCACCACTGTAGTAATACAGCTCTTTCTATGTATTTTCAATTACACTCCACCTTTTAGATCCAAAGATGGCCACCAAAGAGTTAAAATTAATTATACATTTTCAACAGTCACAGACTGGATTACCACAAAGTTGTTGCTCATTTTACTTGCCTCAAAAAAGAAGAGAGTAATGAGAGAGAAATGACACAAGTGGAACTCCAGTGGGCAAAATATGAGACAAAGAGTTAATCTTGTAGCTGAGAAAATGTTGGAGAGCCTTTTGTTGACAAACATGAGCCAGATATCATAGAGTGCAACAGAAATCACTTAATTGAAAACACATTCTGATCTTTGATGCTTTGCAAAACAGCCCAGTCCTTTGTTCACTGTGCATAACTATTCCATGCATGCAAATTCTTGCAGCAGCCTGGTCCCAGAGTTAGAAGACATTCTGCTAAGTGCAAGCCTTGGAGGCCAGGTGCTCCCTGGAGAAAGGATTCAAAGGGTGCATGGCTTCACTCTATGTACATCTCAGTCTTGAATAGTAGCTTTCAAACTTCCTACCCTGGGGATAATCCTTCCATATCTGCTGAAGATTCCCCCGTCTATTGGCTTTGGCATCTCTGCTTCTTGCAGGGGATTCTAGAGATGCGCCAACCAAGGAAGAGATGCAGTTTGTGTGAGGCCTGGCCTGCTGAACCTAAGGATCCAGCTGCACAAACTGATGGAGAACGATAAAATAATCTCTTTTTTGAGCACGGGAAGTGAAGAGTGGTAATAGCAGACAAAACGTGTTTTGGCAGACGTATTTGCTTTTACTGATCCTTAATCAAGGACCCAAGCGCAACTAAGAGGCTACCACTTTGAGGATCATGTGGCAGAGTATCTTTCTACTTGCAAAGTCAGAGTGATGGAACTTTTGTGACATTCTGTGGCTGTAATTTGCAGATGAGATTTCCTGCTACTTTTTGTTTTAATAATATATTTGATGGACTCTGTTTCTGACATCTCAACTTTGCAGGCACAATGGACCAATGCATAGATAGAGGTCTTTCTATAGAGCTGATCTTGTTTTAGAAACCACAGTGTTCAAAACAGGAGGGAAAAATTACCTTATTTGCCATCGCCATGCTTCGTTCACAGATTAGCTTTTGCATTTAGCTAGAGTAAGTTATGGTTAATGAGCTATGGAGCCAGATTGTTTTCCACAAAATAGCATTTTAGACATAGAAGCCTAGGACTTTGGAATGTGTATTAACACAGAGGCAAACCTTTGGAAGGGAAGCATAAAAACAGCATTCAGTTGAAAACATGCAAAGCAGTTTCATGCAGTTTCATTTTGGTGTCACTGTCTACCCAGCAGTGATCTCCTACCAACATTTGGAGATGTTTTCTATTAGGGAAAAATTAAAATAAAACCCAAAACAAATCATGTGTGTGGCTGTGACTAAATCTAGCATTTTCTGAGAGCTGGAGACAGATACATTCATCACGGCCCACAAGACAAATGTACATCCCTCCCACCCCACTGTTATTGTGGGCTCCGGCCAAACTGGCTTTCAACATGTTTTGCCAGGGGGGAAAGATCTGTTTCTCCTCCCAGCAGAAAAAGGATAAATGATAAATGCACATTCACCACATATAAATGTACGGCTGTTGTGGGCACATATTGGCTAGTGTCCATGACATAAATGACATAAATAGAGCTGGTAAACATACGCTTTCACACTGCCCATTTCCAGAAAACTTTTAAAACTAGATTATTTTTTAAAAACCTGGGAGGTGAAGGATGAAATCACTCTGTTGCATAGGTATGCATCCTAAGACAAAACAAAGAAAGGGAATACATTTCAGCTGATTGAATCCTGATACTTAGAATTGGTGCCATAAAGATTTAACCTTAATTGAATTAGCTTTGACCTACAGAAAACAGAAACATCAATGAGGTTTCTCTCTAGATAAAATAAAGAAGCAAGCCACTTAGTTGCCACAAGATTTCAAAGTGTAAGAGAAACTTGTTCTATAACTCGGACAAAAAGGGTTGTATGCATTACTCAGATTATAAGGAAATATGGACACCCTTTACTTTTCTGAATGCAAAGAAGCAGGGGAGAGAAAAGGTCTACAAAATGATGCAGCCAAAGTTAAGTACATGTCAGTCCCACTGATGTTAATAGGAGAGACTTAATTACCTGCACAATTTCCCCATTGACATACATGGGGTTTAACCGAGTTTAACTCTGGCTGGATTGCACCCTGATACTGGTTCACTTGCTTATGCCATCTAGAAAGTTTTACTGAAGTACCTTTTGAATCAGGCCACCACTCCTAGCATGGCTAACATCCTTCTCTTTCCCTCATATCATTAGCATCAATATCATGTGCACTGATCAAGAGCGTGCTGGGTATTCTGGGTAGAAGGGATGTCAATATTTCTTTATTTCCATTCATACTCTGCCCTTGAACCATCTCCTGGACAGACTCATTTTGTATATGCAGGGAAAGTTTTTATGCAAAGAAGCGTTCAAACATCCAGTCCCTACCAGCAGTCTAGAATACTCTAAGCTCAGCAGCAGATACACCACGCAGGCTTTTGCACTCCTGCTTTGCTCTAAATCCGTAATACATGGCTTTGGGTTTTAGGTGGTAAAGACTGAGACAGTAGATAGTGGAGGTGGTACTACTGTCTGTATTTAGCTGAAATGCCTATAGAGCGTTTGTTGAGTTTAATTCTTACACTGGGACTGTGTACGGTCAATGCAGCATATGGGGAAGCAATTTTCTCTCTCCCTTAATCCCAACCCTACACTTTGAGCAAAAGGGACTTGATCAAGAACCAGATTCCCAAGATGCTATAGGCCAGCTGGTGTTATCTGTGGTTGGATTTACTAAGTGCAGAGCATCACTAAGTACCAGCAAGGTTTCCATCTTCCTGCTCTGTCTGTGAGCACCCATGGCAGCTGGCTGGCTGATATTAGAATTGGAATGCTTAACAAGCTGAATGCTTGCTGTGAGCAGCATGACAATTCTTAGGTAACTACGTCTTGTTGTTCTGTACAAGGAAGACCAGGCTGGTATCTGGCATAGGAAACTCTCTTAAGCCAAGGTGGACCATTGGTCCCTCTGGCCTAGTAATGGCCTCTGCACTGACTGGCAGCAGCTGCCCAAAGGCCTTGGTGCAGTGGTCCTGCTCTCTGGAAGATCCTTTAACTAGATGCCAAGCGCAGGACCTGAAGCATGATGGTTTCAAAGCATCTCTTCTGCCACTGAACTGCAATTGACATAAACGTGGCAGGAGGGTTACCAGAGGAGCATGGAATGAATTTATAAGGTATTTTCCAATGAAGCCTAATGCACTCAGAATTGGGCAGCTGTTTCAAAATCTGTATATCTTATACACACAGGGAAGTAGTAAGTATATCCCATAGCAGAGAAGAAAGAGTGGCCCTATTTGTTTGTAGCAGATCAGATGCCTGCATTTGTAAAATGTACTTTGGACAATAGCTTCACTGGGGATTTTAAATCAGAAAACCAAGTTTTCTTGTTATGACCAGCTGGGGTGAACGCCTGCCTACCAAGGGATCTTGTTCATTCAGCTCAGCCCTTTCCTTCCTTGTAATCACAAATTACAGCCCTTGGTGCAGTATGCATTAACAATAACCACATACACATAGGCAGCCCTCCATTTCACAGTGTGCTTTTGTCACATGACGGATAACCACAGATGTTTAAAATGGAGAACTTTTAAAGGCCGTTCCCGATATTTTGGTGCACTTACATTTTAAAAGTTGCACTGGACATTCCAGACACGTGGAAAGAGAGGAAGCATAAATTTGTTGGGCTTCTGCTCCCCACATAAGGAAGGAGTTACACATTCTTAGAGCAAAGGCAGAACACATACACATTTCTGAAAAGAACAGGCACATCACATTGCCTTCAGATGAAACTTGAAACTGTGGGGAAAGGAAGCTACTCAAACTTTTGCTACTTCTCTGAATTAGCTAAAGAAGCTCTCAGTGTGCAAAACACTGCAAAACACAACACATTATTTCAAGTAGTACAGCAAATTCAATGAGAATTGCTGATGCCCAGTGCTATTGACTAGCCACAGTACCACTTCCCTTCAGAAGCCTTTCAGAATGCTTTGGCAAGCCTCATTTGTGGCAAGCTACAGTAGTGAAGGCTAATTCGCACAACTGTTCTGCCACAGCATGAGAATTCATATGCAGTAACTGGTCTTGTGTATCCTCCAGCATACATCAGGAATTGTAGCTCACCATTTCCTAGGTAAGATTTTACAGGAGACACTGAGCCAAAATCTCTACCAGACATGTTACAGAAGTGCCTGGGCATTCACAAGACCGTTCACTACACCAGGAGGGACAACCTGTGATAGCACCATCATCCTGTCAGTCACACGAGAGTTCAGAACTCTCAGCACAGCTAGAAACAAAAGGTAGGCGAGACGGCTCCAACTCACCCAGGCATCCCAAATGGGCTTTGTTCACCACACTAAGAGCTACTTTACATATATATGCATACATGGGTATAGGAAAACAAATATGTACATTTGTGTATACTGTCATGTGAGTATTATGCACATGGCTGTTTGTACTTCCTCGCTGATCCTGTCCCTCTCAAAAACAAAACAACCCAATCAGGGGTGGCATAGGCAGATATACCAAGAGAGAGAGAGAGAGCAATACTGTAAAGTAGGACTGCTTGGGTGGAACTTTTATGTGACTGTCAGTAGGAAGTGGCAGGCTAGTGGCATTTTGCTCCAATCCAACGTACTATTTTGTTTTTTCTCATATTCAAATGTCAGCCTTGGCTGCAGGTTCATAAGCACCAACTCAGAATTAGACCATTGCTGAGTAAGCATCCATGTGATGGGAAGGGAACCAACCTTTTCTCAAAATGAGGTGGAAGAAAGCAGTTAGTTTTCACATCACTGAAAGATCCAGACTAGTTTGCAGTCCAATGTTAGGAACTAAGATAAAGAATAATATGCATTTGAAACCCTTTTGATCTGAAAGGTTAATGCAAAATTGTGTATGCTTTCTACCCCTGAACAAAACCAACACAGATAGAAATATGGAGAAGAATAAAAGAAGAAAATGATAATGCTCAGAAATCACCTCTATTTAAATAATCCAGTTGAGACCTTTAGTTAATGAAAAAGCATATACTGTTACCTACACTGAAAATAGAGTAAATCATTGAGGAACTAGCATGAGTGTCCATTAGAACATTCCTAGATTCATTAACTCAGCACCAGATACTGTTAGATCTGACCCTTCCCACCCTCCCAGAGTCATTGCAGTTGGTGATAAATGCAACATTTCAGAATTGCAGTATAAAATATGGCCATTTAAAAAAATCCTTCTTTCCAGTCCTTCACTGAGCTTGCAATGCAGGATGAAATCACCCGGGAGAAGGCTTGCCTGCATCTCCACGCCTGCCTGGGCACTCCCCCCACCTCTGACCTCCTCCAGAGGGCGGGGGCAGCAGCAGTCTGGATCACTTGGTCCCTGTATGCACTGTTGTCACTGTGGTCTGCCTCGGTCTCCGCTCTCCTACGGCAGAAACCGGGGATGAAGCCGATGATGCAAAACTACAGGGGGTGGAAGGGGACATACCTGAAAGAGAGCAAGAAAAGTCAGAAGCCACCAACGGAAAGAACAAAGAGCTAGTGTGGTGTAGTTGTCGGAGTGTTGGACAGAGACAAGGAAACCCAGATTTACACTCCCACTCAGGGAGAAACTAAATTTTATGATGAACACAGGGCTACTGCCAAAAATGCCTGTGTTACAGTTTTGCCATCCCTGCTCTGTAATGTCTAGCATAACTTACCTCACATTCTGAAGCCATTAATTACCCTGTGAATTTCCCTGTCTCCCACGATCCAGTGATGTGGACTGGGGATGGGAAAATGCACAGTGCAATAATTTCAAGGGACTGGGAAAGTTGTACTAGATGTTACAGATGGGGAGTGGGAGATTTTGACACAGGGCTGCCATTTCCAGGGATAGCTCCCAAATACATAATATAGTTTAGTTCTGTTCTCAGCCATGAAGCTCAGTGGGCCAGTGACTTTCTCAGCCTAATCTACCAGGCAAACTCAACGATGAAGTTAAAATGGGAATACTCTGCATCTGCTACCTTGAGAGTTCCTTGAAGGGGGTGGTGGAATGAAATTGTGATTATGAGTTATGATGATGCCAACATTCCTGTTATCCTGCAGGGAACTGCTCTTTCCAGAGACAGAAAAAAGTTCATAGAGAAGTTTCTAGCCCGTCATTCCTCAGGGGCACTGTCTCTACAGTGAATGCAAAAAGCAATCGGAATGACAGTCCACATGCCTTTCTCATCTTTGCAGCAGCTGTGGGTTCAGTGGGGCATGGTCTATCCACCGGGGCCACAAGCAGCTTCCCCCTTGAGATTGGGGGAATTCGTGCGTTCCTCATAGAACAAACAGATGACAAAAGCACAGTTCTTTCAGGAAGAGGCTTTGGGTTCATTTTTATAATAAAGATACCCACAATGGATTTTTGTTGTCATTTTAGAAGAAGAAACCAGCCCTGGGTTCATGAAGCAAATGTTTTTCATGCCTCGTAATGGAAAGTCACTGCCTTTTGCATTGTGGGATGCAGATCTATTGCATACAGGCCACTGAAGTCTTTAATTTGTTTAAATAGCTAAGTCTGTAGCTTAAATTAAGGTTTGCAATAAGAGTTTCTACCAGTGATTAGTCTGAGGCTCTGACACATGCATGCAGATACTTGATCCCTGCAGTCCACGCAGCCCCTTCAATGTACTTTGATAATTTACCTTACAATGTCATTTAGCTGTAGGGAAGTTTGTTCTCTCACTAATCTTTTCATTGAGGAATCCTGATAAATTTTCCTGGAGCCCTGTTTGAAGACTTCTGAGTAACAGCAATTTGAAGAAGGAGGAAACCTAACCACTTTGAAAAGCAACTTCTTTGGGCTCCTTCTTCTAACATTGCTTGGGAGCATTCCTTTCAACAATTATTTAATTTACTGGCAGTAACAAATTAAAAAAAATCTATGTATTATGTTTCAAAAATAAAAACTAAATACCCAACAATTTGCTGTCCTTTTGTGCTATGCCAAATCTGTTGCCTATGGTGGCTGCCTCACTTGGCTCAACAGCAGGTCTGATCCTGAGTCTATCTGGGCTCTGCAAACATGTGAAATGTGTTCACTTTTTGTCTCACTCTCCCCAGCCGTTTCATTTGCCAAACAGTATCATTCTTGGTTTCTTCACTTCCCCTCATTAAATTGTTGAAAAGGAGGGGGGAAAGGAAAGCTCTTTTCTGGACATGATACTCAGATCCTATATTATAAACTGGATTATAAACTCTTTGGCTATTCATGGCAAAAATGCCCGCGCAGAACTGAGTTGTTGACAATATACCAATGTGCAAATGTTTGATCTCCAGAGAGAAAACAGCAGTTGCAGATAAGAGGCATCCCATTTATTCAAATATAAATGACAGTTGTGCTGTCCAAGTGAACCAACTGGGAGACATGCTGTGCTTTTGGGAGAAAGATGATTCAGCACTAGTTAAGATCCCTGTGTTTCAGGCTCAATCCTCATTCATCTCTAGTTCGCATAGCAGGTGGTGAAAATGTCTTCTCCTGCCAGTCAAGACAATACTGAGCTCGTAACAGTCTGAAAGCACAAGGCTGCTTCCTATGCTCCAATGCAATGATTCAGGTCTGACTTTATAATTAAACAGAGCAAGGAGGCAGGCCCTCCCTGCCACCCTCTTGCTGCTGCCCAGTGCCATCCTCCTGAGCTGCCTGCTGTCTAGCTGTCTTGTTTAGCCACCTTCTCCCAACCTGCAACTGACAGTGCCATGACGAAAGGCTGTTGCCCAAGCAAGCAGGCCGAGAAGCAGCCAGCCCAAGACACCACCATCTCCGCCCAGGTGTCACTGCAGCATCAGCTTGAGTGAGGTGTGCACTAGGCAGAGCAGGGAGCGAGAGGTGGCACAGATGACCTCTGAGTGCCTGCTGATACCTAGTCTCAGATCTGGCAAGCTTTGCTAGTCTGGGGTCATGTACTCACAATCTTTCCTGGCTGTTCCATCAGGTAGTGGCTTCGCCAGGCTGAGGGAGCTTGACATGCTTACATTTGAACTGTCCAAACTGCTGCCAAGATGTAACCTTCTCATGTGTCTCACAACTGCTGTGGCATTAAATGCTTGCTGGAAAAAACAACACAGAAATAAATGAACAAGCTGCTCTTGGGTATTTTCCTGGCTTCTGGAACCTGGTGAAGGAAAAAAAGTGGCCCTTGCACAAAGCAGCACAGACTTCAAAGGAAGACATCTCTTTAATCAGATAGGATGTCCTGTTGTCTTACTGTATCATTTGGTGATGTGCTTGTGTGTGTGTGGCTTTTGTGCGTATGTTTTTAACAGTTACTTCCAAAAATATTATTTCCACACAATACTAAGAGAAAACATTCACATTCAGCAAATATATTGTTTCACTCCCCAGTGCTGAAGTGTTGAGGGTTTAAGGACATACAACCAAAGCTGTGATGAGCAGTAGCTACGTAGGGCAGATGGTGCCATGCCACCTGTGATTGGACGGTGTCTGGGACATGTGACCCAAGAACAAAGAATATCACCACATACCATTTTGAACATGGCCTTCCCTATCTCTCATGCCCTTTCCCTTCCATCACTAGACCAATCCAAAGCACCACTCCCACCCTCAGAAAGGGACAAGACTAGACAGTTATGACCATTGCACTGCTAGTTATATATAGCAATACTGCAAGAAGACAGAGAAGTAAAGTGAAATCTAAATATTAGATACCAATTAGTAGTTTAGAAATTGGAAACCAGTTAATTGTTATCACCACTTCCAAGAAAGTTAGCTATGCTTAAGTTCCACTGAAATCAATGGTGCCTGATAATTTAAATCTGCATAAATGACATTGATGCCATCAGTTTTTAAACTTGACTTGCTGGGCCAGGGCTACTGCTAAAAAGGCATTTTAGTAGTTAAATAAATATAGGTGGAGGGCATGTATGTTTTGGACTTGCAAGACTGGAATTGTTTGGGGTGCTATGGAGGATATGGCCGGAGCATACTATCCCCCCTCTTCCCAACTTTCTCCTTTATAAAGCAGAAGGAGAAGGAGAAAGGAAAACATGGGTCCATTATCTCAGAGGACCTCTCCCAGGGCCCAGTTCAGCTGAACTTCTTCACAAAAGAATTGCACCTCTACGCCAAGCTAAACTTTCCCATTGAAAATCAGAAGCATTCTTTTGAAAATTGGGAAAATTTCCATGTTTTGCTCTGTAGCAGACTCCCTTATAAAGCTAAAATCATTTCTTCCCAACAGTACAAGCAACTGAGAACATGATAGCTTACTCTCCATTTGCTTTTTGCAAAGTTCTTGCGAATCTGTGCACTGACGGACTCGTGAATATTTTTATTGAGGGCTGTGTCACCAGCAATCCTGAAAAAAGATAAATGAGACATTTGAAATGTTTGGTTCAGAATATTGTTTTACAATGCTCTCCTCTTTGTTCGTCACTCTACAAAAATAGGGTGCAATCTAGTGCTCTTAAAATGAGTTGACATTTTGGCCATAGACTTCATTGAAAAATGGGCTGCAGCATTGATACTTTTCAGTGAAACACAGAAAAAAGTCCATCATTTCCCACTGGTGGAGCTCAACTAAGCCCTCCCTCTGCTGAACATACGTGTGGTATAAATCCGAAGCAGGCCAGACCCGCTCCAGTCACCAGGCATGTGTGCTCTGCTCCCAGGCCTGTTGGACATCTGCACTGGCCAGTGGCAAAATAACAACAATAAATCATCATAAATATAGCAGCAATATTACATGACAGGTCCCTACCCTGAGCAGTTTATAATCTATATTTTGACAGTGAGAGAAGGCAAGAGTGGAAACGAAGGGTGGAGAATGGAGAAATGGGAGAGGCAGGAGCAGGAAGAAGAAGTATACAAGTGTGCAAACACAGATACAGACATTTGGGCTTTGTTTTAGATGGCAACAGGGAATAGGGAATAGCCATGTCCACCATTGCTACTTGCTGCTCATCAGAAGCTCCTCTCCCATTAATTGTGGTACCTTTAGCAGCTGCAGGATGGTGCAAATCAGTAGATCAGTCCAAAGCCCCACATCTGCATCCCTCCCAGTCACCCCTCCCTTAAAGCCAAAGGAAAATGCTGCAAGACCTTTCTTGAAATTCAATGTTTTTCTCTAGACATAACTTCTAAGCTTTAACTGGCTTGCATGCTATTTTTTTCCTGCCTCAGGATATGCAGCTGTTTCTAAAAGCACTCAAGGTCTATTGTGTTGTGGATAGCCCCTAATCCACATAGTTTTAAATCAAATCTGATCGTGAGGTTTTTCATACCCAAAATCTTAGCAAAAAAGCACAGACTGTGCAAGACTCTGAATGAAGTGATGCCCTCTTAACAACATTCTCGTTCCCATATCAATCACTTAATTACTACCAAGGGAAATATTAAAAGTCTTGTGCAGCAATGTACAAATCAATGAAATTTAAGAAGTTTCATGCAGCCATAATGGAACCCTAAAACAAGTAAACACTGGCTGAAACCAGTGGAAAAGAGCTGGGTGTGAAGGAAGCAGGTGGTGCCAGTCAGCAGGCAAGTGGCCAGAAACTTGCATTCAGTGTGATTCAGGAAGCAATCCTATACCATTTACCTGAGCGAGAATAAGCCCCATGGAGTGCAATGGGACTTGCATTGGGGCAGGCATGTATAGGACTGTGTTCACACTTCCTGTTAAGGGTGTTTAGCACCGCCTGTGAGCAGGCTGCATTGAATTCAATGGGGCTCACTTTGGAGCAGAAAAATAGCATTGTGCCATTGTGCTGTTAATGTTTTGAGTCTTTTGTAAATCTCTTGCACTATTTGCCTGAAATGTGAGGTATAAATCATGGCATATATATCCAAAATAAAGTTATGGTAAACCCTGTTCAGCTATGGCTTGATGACACACACACACACGCGCACACACACAGAGAGAGAGAGAGAGCTAACTGTGATTGGTTCAGGGTCAGAGACCCGATTCCTTTTTCATCACTGGGTCATTGACTTTAACCTATCCTGGCTGCCCAGGTGACAAATACAGGATTAACTGGGGATCAAGAAAGTATTTGGTTCTATTATCAATGCAGAGATAACTACAAAACTAGTGACACTAATTGGCTTCTTTCCTGACAGTTTAACTAGGATGAATAAGCACAATAGATTTAACTGACCAGGAGGAATTCCCACCCACAATACGTAGTTGGGCAGCATGTTGATGCCTGTCTGGGAGACTGAGGAGGCAGCCACAGATTCAAGTATCAGAAGCAATCTTGCTGCTGACAAGTGAGGATCCCTCCTTCTGTCCGTACAGAAACATCAGCAGGACTCCTGAAATGCTCCACTACACCCATAGTGTGAAGTCAGTGCCATGGCAGGATGGGAATCAGCAATACTCTGAGAAGGGGGCAGTGGTGGCCTGCACAGGCTGGGAGGCTGGAGAAATGCCAGCGTAGGACGAAAGAAGCAATTGCCTATGAAATGCCCTGCTTAGGCTGAAATCCTAGACAAAGATTACCTGCATCCTTTGCATATTGATCTCTGTGTGTTTGTGTACATAAATGAGAGGGGAAGTAATTAATATTACTATTTTTTGTTTCGTTTTGGATATATCAGACAGGGTTTACACATCATGTAATACCTGGGTACACACTGTTTTTGCCTCCAAGTATGCACTAGCATACTAACAATGGTTTAATTAACACTGGGTAATTAAAGAGTGCAACTGGCTCTTGGGTTTACTGAGGAGTTACGTGATTTGCTACCCATGTCTTGTCAGTTGGCTGCAGGTGAGCAGCGGTTTCAAGATGAAGGGCTGTTGATAGCTTTTCTCTTCCTCCGCCTTGTTTTTCCACTGTTCTCTAGCATAGATTGTAGGTGATACTGCAGCATCTTAACCTTGGGTTATATGTAATAGTAATGGGAGTCATCTTGTGTTACTAATATGCTTTGCTTTCTAGGGATGATCCTTCCAATTCCAAACCTATATTGTTATGCAATCTCTTATCTTCCTGGTCTTGTGTGGTGTGTGGGTGTCTGTGTGCGTGTGCGTGCGTGCGTGCACACACACACACACACACACACACACACACTGGGGGAGGATTCATTTTCCTGAGGATGGAACCCAATGTTACAAAAAATAATACGTTTGCCCCCCCCCCCATAGTAGCCATATGTTGAATATCTCCCTCCTTCTGTACAACAACTTAGCTTGTATACTGATGTTGTCATGATGTGCAGTTCCCTGATCTCACAAGCATCAGTCTGTGATGTGAAACAGCAGTGGTGAAATGCACAAGACAACAATTTTAGGACACAGGATAAAATGCAATACCTGTTGCTTGGCAGGGGGCACCCTGGATTTGTTTCTGGGAGGGTTTAGCTTTGTTCTCAATATGCCTAGAAATGGAACACTGGGCAAGTTCTCAATTCCACTGTTTTCAGAATCTGCTGTATATACTTATTGAAAGCCACTCTGGCCAAAGCCTCATTGGAAACAACCACCCAGATGATGGAAGCGCAAAGTTTGTGTAGCAGATAGTGGTGCAGGAGCATAACTCCTGAAACATATACACATCCAGTACCGATCAGATTCCAAAATAAACAGAGCACTGGGAGAGGCCAGAGAAGAGTTTAATCATCACTTATTCTCCTCAGGGAGCCATTTCACACTTTAAATAGGATTGCCTGGGAACCAACTCCTCTGTAAATCATCTTTTTCACAGAGTGACAATATAATCCTTTTACATAAACTGTTTTTAATGATGCAATTGTACTATTGGGCCTTGCTCTAACAAACAATTGAAGGACTCTGAAAGAAATTAAATGAGCCTTATTAAATAAGGCCATGATTTGTCCCTATATTTTTTCCTAAGAGTCTTTGAATGAAATAGGTTTTTCCTCCACTCTCTGATCTTACAATTTTTTTTAAAAGAAAAATTATGGCTAGCCCTTGAGCTGACAATTCTGTGCATTCATCTTTTCCCTTTGAGTCATTAAAAACTGAACTCTGTGGTTTAGTACAGGATCAGGATTCTGCCTTGACAAGATGTACTTAATCAGGGTAATTGCTGTCATTTATTATCACAGATGTTGCATGAAAGAAAAAAATTGAAACACTTATCAGGCCCCAGAAAATTACTGCCTGTCTCTGTTTACCCCAAGTTCTATGTCAAAGCAATGTAGCTTGACCAGACCTTCTGCCCTGAGATGCACTAAAAGCCTTAAGAAAGAGGTTTGCTTGACAAATAATCCCTGCAGATGGGACCACAATACCTGCCTCTTAGGTTAAACCAACCCATATAAATGTGTGGATTATTTCAAATAACATTGCCTGTTACAACAGGGCTTCCCCACTGGCCTGCTTTTGTGGCTCAGCATGGATCCTTTGCTTTTATATATGCCAGATTTGGAAAAACGTAGAAACGTAGGGTCTACACAAAGCTATAAGCAGGTGGTGAACTATTAGGGGTGTCAGGTTACAACTTTAAGATCTCCCTCAACTTTTAACCTACTTGCCTGCCATCCCTCTTTCCCATCCTGTTATCTTTCTAATAAGACTTGCATGATGTAATAATCAGGACTCCAGTTGTACTGCAAGGCATTGAAATAGTTTTCACTGAGTAGACAAATACTTTCCTTACGTACACCTTTAGGAGCCAGGCGAAAACATTCCTCTTTGACCAGGTCTTTGGCTGATTAACATCCAATACCCTTTTAAATGTGTTGTGGAAGGGGGGATTAATGGTTTGGTTTTGTTCTTATTTTTATTACGTATTTTGTCTGTTTTATTGTATTGTTATGTTGTGAACCACCTTGAGATCTATGAATGAAGTGTAGTATATAAATTGAAATGGTGATGATGATGATGATGATGATGATATAGCACAGCCCAATGTGAGCTATTTTTTATTCAGTACTGGGGTGCCAGACTCACAGTATTTCACTGTAGGCTTCAAAGCTGAAGGCTTAAGCACACTTAAATTGATATCTGTAGGACTTCTGTCAATGCATGGTATTGATTTCAACAAGACATAAGCACTACTAACTCCAGAGCACTGTGTGCAAGAAGAGGGCATTATAATACTAACATTCTACTAACAGTCTTTGTAACTGATGGCCTATATTCAAAGCCTGAATTATGGATAAAAGGTTGGGAGAAAAATGTTGTCAGGCCTTTAGCAACAGCATTCAATTGCTGATTGGGAATCAAATGGTTAAATGAAAAGAAAAATTGTGTTAGGAGCTCTTCAAATGTGTGTATTATATTTTATTCCAGTAACTAACAGAAATGATCATCCAGGCCAATAAGCTGTGTATGTTGGATAAAACATCTTGGAAAATTCTTTTCCATTCAAAAATATAAAAAGGTGACCTACTTTTCTGCTGGTAGGTATGTTCCTGATCATTTGATCTGTGCTTGAGATATCATTTTTATGACTTATTTAATTTCCTGAGGCCTGTGATGGAATGATGTCATTCAAATATACACTATTTCCTTCTCTTTGTGAAGTTTTTGACCAATGGTTAAAGGTTTCTCACACGTCCTTTTTGTTGGAAATGGTTCTGAACAGATGTGAAGAGCACTTCAATGCTAGATTCTGTGGCCTACAAACTTCTGATTCACGCTGACATTTTCCAGTTAGAATTCAGGGCCGTCCAGTGAAATGAATGGTGGAGATTTGGGAGAGACAAATTGAAGAACTTCTTCAAAGAGTCCATAGTTAAACTACGGGATTTCCTATGTGGTGCTGGCTGCCAACTTTAAAGAGAAAGTAGACAAGTTCAGACTACTGTGGATAGCTCTCTTCTACCCTCAGGATCAGAGGCAGGAAGACCAGTTTCTGGGAAAGAAGAGCAGGAGAGGGCTCTTGCCCCATGTCCTGTAGGTTTCCCATAGGGACCTGGTTGGCCGCTGTGGAAACACGATGCTGGACTTGAAGGGCCCAGGGTCTGATTTAGTGCTGCTCTTCCTACGTTCTTGTTGCATTTCTGTTTTACACTGACAATATAGCAAAGTGAAGATTTGGTGGGACAATGGGATCACAGCCACTCACCTGCTTCCGTTGTAACAAATAGCACATGTGTGTACGTAGGTCCAGCATGCATTATCATGCGCACACCTCACCCTGATTTGAGGTTCGTTGGGCATGTGCACGTATGCATTAAGGATGGGGTAGGACGGCCATGACACTGAATATACCCCTCCCCTCTGAATTCATTGAACACAGCTAGCCATGTGTGAATAGTGATTTACTCTTATTTTATTGTGAGTGAGGTTTCTGTTTTTCTCTGCTTTTGTTCTCCGTTGACACCTCCTCCTTGCCTGCAAAGTCTGAGTCTCAAACCTTTCTCTGTAATGTGATTGCAATCACAGCTCAATGCTGTTGACTGTTATGCCATTGCTGGCTATGATTTACCCCTTGAGTGAAGAGTTTGATAATCACTGATTAATGATGGAGACAAATGGTGTTGACAATTTCTGGACATGGCAATGAACTGAGTAACTGCTTACCAGGGATGTCGGGCTGCCTGCTCACAGGTATATCTTTTGTTTGGGTCTTTCTCCATCAAATTCCGAATAAAATCTTTGGCTGTTTTCAGAGAAGGAAGGAGGAAGTACAAGAAAAGCACACAGTGGTATTAAAGGTTCATCTTAATTTGCACATTGCAGTCATCTAATCCTCTGAAACAATATGATGGTGTCCCACTGGGAGACATAACACCAGGAGATATAGGGTTAGGGTGTAGGTTCTGGTAGTAGATTAAAGTAAGGAGCATTTTATACACATATAAGGCGTTAAAGCAGTCATAAGTCAATCAAGTGAACGACCATACATAATGTAATTCAATTCTACATTTATGTGTCTCCTCAGACTGCCATTTTTATTCATAAAGCCACATCTTCCTTACCGAATTATTATTACTAGATTTCTCATACGTGATGGTAGCTGAATATTTTGGGGACCAGGATTTTGCTCATATAAAGCGTGAACTGAAAAAAGTCAACTTCCATCACAGTGAATGAATCATAGGCTAGGTCTATGCCTTCTAAAAAATGTCTATGACCAGGTCATATAAATTCTGCACCAAGAAATGCTAAATTCTGCAATCTGTATAAATTATTTTAAAATAAGCAAGTGTGGACGAGTCCTCTTATTCCCACATTATGCTTACAATGTGGGAGCTGGAGGAAAAGTGGAATACAAGAAGTGCCAGGATTCAGAAGAAGAGATGAGTATGTACTGTTGGGAAGAGAGGGGAAGGCAGTATTTAAAACAATGTATGATGCAGAAAAAGTATGTTCACTAACAACAAAGGATACTGATATGAATAAGTACCTAATTTGTGATTCTACTTGCTCCTTACCAGAGTCAGAGATATCATCCCAGTATGGAGAGTCAAATTCATATTCTGCTTTAAGGATCTGCTCAAAAAGCTTGGAGTCATTTTCATCATAGAAGGGAGGATACCCACAGAGCCTAATACACACAATTTTTTAAAAAGCAGGACATTTTGAGTCACATGAGAACAAGTGATTGAAGCAGAACTTCAGTTTTTCACAATTAACTTTGGGCTTCCAAATGGAATGTCAGCCTACCCCCCCCCCCGGTATTTCACCATTTTGTGATTCACGGGCCACACAATAATTTTGAGCTGTCTCAAGTGGGCCGTAGGAGTGGAAAGTTACACCATATGCGAAGCTCTGAATTAGGGCATCACTAATTCAGAACTGACTCTATTTTAAGTAAATATACACTTTTTAAGATCCCATAGAATAAGGGCCCAACCACACTTACCTTTCCTTGTGTCTGAGTGCCCCCCTTTCTTTGCTCCAGAGCTTTCCCCACAAAAACACACTCTTAAGAGCTGAAGCTGAGCCAGGGGTGCTGACATGCCCCCCTTTCCCCCGTCCTCTCCTCAGCATGCGGCCAGTGGGGGTGGGACTCATGGAGAGCAATCTTCGCCCTCGCTGGTCCCAGCCCCTCCCAACTCCTGGATGGAGGCTGGGGTGCACGGAAGGCACCTGGCAGTGGGGGGGATGTCGGCCCCTCAATATTGGGGGGAGCTGAGCCCCCAATTCAAAATATTGAGGAGGCTAGAACCCCTTTCACCCCCTATGCCTGGTGCCAGTGATATGAGCAGCCATCAATCTGTGGAAAACCCAAGTTTGCTGTGAAAGTTAGGGGCAAAAAACAAAAAACCACTTGGACAAGGAGCATTGACATGGCTGTCAACTTTTCCCTTTTCTTGTGAGGAATCCTATTTGGAATAAGGGAATTTCCCTTTTAAAAAGGGAAACGTTGACAGCTATGAGCACTGAAGCTCTGCCCAGAAAGAGTGGGGCTAAAGGTACATGGGGATAAGCCCTAAATGAACAATACACAACTCTCTCTCTCCTACAGCAAATGCTAATATTTCCATTGAGAGTCAGCTCAAAAATTGTCATGTGCAAAACAAAGTGACAGTCATTCTTCACAATATTTTTGCCAAGGGACCACTTAGTAAAAATCAGCCTTGACAGGATTTCTTGGGAGCTGTGATGCTTTCTCGCTTGCCTTCAGCCTCCTCCCTCAGTTCTAGATAAAGGGCATTAATCGAAAACCATTAATCTGGAAGACAAGAAGACTGCTTCTCTGAGTTCCATTTTTCAAATAAGCATCACTTGTGTAGCACACTGATTTGAGATCTATAACGAAATAGTTGCTGCTCAGCATGTTAAAAACCACGCCGTCCAGATTCCAGGGCAGTCCCCCCCAGGCAGAAGGGATGTGGTGGAGCTGGAGAAGAACCGGGCGAAGAAGGCGAAGGGGAAAGAAAAGGCCAGAGAGGCAAAACAGGGTGGGGGGTGCTGCAAGGAGGGTGGGATCATATGGAGTATTCTGGAGGATGCCATGGTTTTTCAACACCACAAACCCATCATGGCTTTCTACCACTTTAACTGTCACAGCTTCCCCCCTAAGAATTGTAACTTGAAGAGATGCCCTAACTTCCCTAACTCCATAAACTATAATTTTCAGAATTCTTAGTGAAGAGGAAATGACTTTTAAATGAGATGGTTTGAGCATTTCTCCCCCTCCCCAATGATGCTTCCCTTCCTTGTTCCCCCCAAGGAGTGTTTCATTCATCCAACATGTGACATCTTCATGTAGGATCGTTGGGCGATTATCTCTCGATCCCCTGGCAGTTGTGTTGTGGGCTGGAGCAATCAATAGATCTGCTCTCAGTGTATAATTGAGGATGACAGTTTTCTGTCAAAAATATTATGCAACCAACAACCAGCTTTTTACTTGATCTTTGTAGCACTATAACCATGTAATCACCACTTTCCCTTACAAAATTTGGCCAAGACAATAGTCCAAGGTAGGCTATCACTTCAGACCAGCCTGCTGAAGCTTATAAGCAGACCTAAAGATAATCACCATTTCTCTGGTGCTTGCTCCAGCCACTAGTTTTCAGAGGTATATTACCAATTGGATAGTTTAGGTAATGGCCTCAGATTTTGGTAATAGATTAACTATGTGGTGGATTAATATTCACACATTGATGCTGGGGGGAAATATAAATGACAAGCTCAAAATTGTTCTGTGTACATTTGTATGTGAACAGAATAAACAACATAGTTTTGAGCAGGTAAACCCCTAAGTGCAGAGATCTCGTAGAGCAGTGGTTCCCAGTTGGCAAAGTACTGTGGACCCCCAGTTTTTCAGAAGCCAAGCCATGGACCCCCTACTTTTGAAAATTTGGGTATCTCTTTTTCTTATATGAATGGTGCCATGGCCCCCTGGGTGGGTTACGTGAACCCCCTGGGGTCTGCAGGCTACCAACTGGGAACTCTTCTCATAGAGCATAACAGATCCCTCTCATCTTACTACTCTTGAGGTGCATACACAGAGTAGGTACTCTGCTGGCCTTCCCTTCTGTGTGGTCAAGGAGCACAGTTCACACGTCTTGAGTGAGTGGATGCAAGATGGCAAGATGCAAGGAACCACTGAGAAGGCGGTCCCTTCTCTGACACAGCCTGACATATGATGGGTGCAGGGCAGGGAACAGGGCTCTGTTATACCCTGTGGGAATCCCAGGATCCACACCCGCAATGGGCTGAATCTTCCTATTTTAAATATACAAATTGTAACAGGAAAAAAATCTGGGCCCTTCAATGTAGTTGCTTTAAAATAAAATAAAATGAATATGACATATGGAATAACAGGAAGTTTCAAGCTGCTGAAAGCATACAATATGAATTTTCTGTTTTTTAAAAAGTCTGATCATAAAGCTGCTGAGAACTGGATATGATTAAAATGAAGCATTCAGGGCTGGCACTAAAGCAACCTTAGTATTTCTTATCACATCTTATTTGTCTGAGGTTTTTAACTTTTTTTGAACTTGTAATCTACAATATAGTCAACCGTGCATAAAAAAACAGCACTAAGCCAGAATTAGCTTCTTTCCCCATTGCTCTGTGTCCAGTTCTATCAGGGGACATATGGTATGTATGTATGTATGTATGTATGTATGTATTTATATATATATATATATTAATATTAATATTACTCTGCTAAACCAGCCAGTTCAGATTCTCGGGGCAGCTTCTAATCAGTGAAAATGTCTGCTACAATACAATGATCATAATAAAAACATTAACATATCAGTTGCTTAAAAGCATAGCAGTGTGAGGCAACATCTTAAAATATTTCAGAGACTCAGGGCCAAATCTGATCAGATGGGATCTCTGACCAGAACTTCCACCTCAATGGGGTCACTTGGCTGTGGGACAGAATGGGAAGCAGGGTTAAGCCTTTCCTCCTGCACCATTTTCACAATGAAAATTGCCTCCCCCCTCAAGCTGCTGTTCATCCCATTCAGGAAAACTGATTTTTAGAAAAACGGAATGATACATGAGATCTGATCAAGGGTCTGATTGAAAATGGTGGTCAATGAGCAAACAACCCACTATTAATTATTATTACTTGGCACACTGTGTGTGAAAGTATTTGAGATTAATAATGAGACTCTTGAGAGTCCCATGGACTGCAAGAAGATCAAACGCATCCATTCTTAAGGAAATCAGCCCTGAGTGCTCACTGGAAGGACAGATCGTGAAGCTGAGGCTCCAGTACTTTGGTCACCTCATGAGAAGAGAAGACTCTCTGGAGAAGACACTGATGCTGGGAAAGATGGAGGGCACAAGGAGAAGGGGGTGACAGAGGACGAGATGGTTGGATAGTGTTTTCGAGGTTACCAGCATGAGTTTGACCAAACTGTGGGAGGTAGTGGAGGACAGTGGTGCCTGGCGTGCTCTGGTCCATGGGGTCACGAAGAGTCGGACACGTCTAAACGACTAAACAACAACAACAACAAAACTCATTTGATACTACTTACAGAATATATGCAATAACTCCAATGGACCAACAGTCTACTGCTTTGCTGTAGGGTTTCTGGGCAAGAACTTCAGGAGCTGAAAGAAGGAGGGAGAGGGAAGGAAAATCCATAAATGTCACAAAAGCCAATGAATGAGCCAAAATCCAAACACAGAACTCAACAGTTGTTCACTGAAGTTAACATACATTGCCCCTGCTCTATTCAATTGCCACTGAAATATACTCTTGGAATTATGAACCTCAGAAATGCCAGACATTACACACACACACACACACACACACACACACACACACACACACAGGAAGCATTCATCTAAGTCGCTGAGCATGTGGAACAAGGTGCACTCACATTTTGGGATTTTCTCAAATATCTTCCTCCAACAACTCCAAAATCTGCTCTGATGGGTTGCTGGAACCCCCAAAGAAGGTTAGGGGGGGCACATGGGGAGAGACAACAGGGTAAAGCCATGTTGCATGAGTGGGCTTCATTCTCCACATGCAGACCCCTATGTTGAATTCCACTCAACATGTGTGGGGGTGCCATCAATGTAGCCAACATGGCCTCCCCCAGATGTTTCAGAATACAATCCACATCAGCCCCATCCAGCAAGGTCAATAGCCGCAACCTCTGAAGGGCACCACGTTATCCATCTCTGATAAAGACCGGGTGCGTCACAGAAAAACCTAAGTAAAAAGTCAGCTTTCTGCCCCAAGATGCTTTACGATCTAAATTAAGGTAGCTATGATACTATGAGCGTATCTACACTAATTACAGCACTGAGTTAAACTGGTTTAATAGTAATTCCCTTTCCTCGGGGAACCTTAGGAGCTATAGTTCTGTGAGAGGATCAAGGAATTGCTAATATTTTTTTCAGCACCTTGACAAAACTACAATTCATTATTTTTTGAGGGAAGTCATGAGAGTTAAACAATTACAAACTGATATAAGTTTGCAGTGCAGATAAATTTTTCTTGCTCAGAAATATGTGCAAATGGAATATGTTCTACGGTGTTGTTCTCATAATATCACAGAAAGGAAGCCCCTAAAATCACACTTCCCATTTTACATATAAAAACATTACAGAACTATCAGTTAATAGACGAGGAATTGCAGTTTCATACAAGTTTCATCTTCTAGCATTGCACTAATACATGAACAGGCCACTTGCAGAGACGGTTATTTTCGAGAGTGAAGTCTCACATGAAGCTATGCATATGTGTTTGACAGACTGGTAAATTCAGGTCTCTTTATCTCATGTTGGATAGACAATTTGTCATTGTAATCTTCAGGACAATTTTTATTACAGGCAAGCAGAAGTTGGACTGGAGGGCTCTTCAACTTGCATAGATCCACACATTATCCACTGTTCACTCTGCTTTTCTATTCTCTGTGTTCTTTTGCTTCCACACTTGTATGATGTGCACAACCGGCTGAAATGCACTGAAATCAAACACTGGAAATGGTGCATTGGATGCTTTTGAATTCTGGTGCTGGAGGAGACACTTGAGAGTCCCATGGATTGCAAGAAGATCCAACCTCTCCATTCTGAAGGAAATCAGCCCTGAGTGCTCACTGGAAGGACAGATCGTGAAGCTGAGGCTCCAAGACTTTGGCCACCTCATGAGAAGAGAAGACTCCCTGGAAAAGACCCTGATGTTGGGAAAGATGGAGGGCACAAGGAGAAGGGGGCGACAGAGGACGAGATGGTTGGACAGTGTTCTCAAAGCTACAAACATGAGTCTGACCAAACTGCGGGAGGCAGTGGAAGACAGGAGTGCCTGGCGTGCTCTGGTCCATGGGGTCACGAAGAGTCGGACACGACTAAACGACTAAACAACAACACTCTGTTTGACAGCAGCTCTCCAGAGAGTCCAGAGAGCCAGTGTGGTGTAGTGGTTAGGAGCGGTTGTCTCGTAATCTGGGGAACCGGGTTCGCGTCTCCGCTCCTCCACATGCAGCTGCTGGGTGACCTTGGGCCAGTCACACTTCTGTGAAGTCTCTCAGCCCCACTCACCTCACAGAGTGTTTGTTGTGGGGGAGGAAGGGAAAGGAGAATGTTAGCCGCTTTGAGACTCCTTAAAGGGAGTGAAAGGCGGGATATCAAATCCAAACTCTTCCTCTTCTTCTTCTTCATCTTTTCCAGCCCTGCTTGGAGATGCCAGGGACTGACCTGAGATGCTCTGCTGCACACAGAGCAGATGCTCTGCCTTGGTACTGCAGCCTTTCCCTTCATGCAGGTTTTTAGCTAAGGCATTAGTGGTGGACAGCCAAACAGAGTAGTAAGGAGAAGGGCTGCACATTTTAGAAATGTAAGATGAAATATGGTTGGTGGAAATTACTGTTATCACAGTGTCACTTTCTGCAAGCACTACTTCATATTGCAGCCAAGTAATATCATAGAATCGTAGAACTGAAGGGGAACCCGAGGGTCATCTAGTCCAACCCCCTGCAATGCAGAAAACCTGCTCACAGCCATTCCTGGGTGGACTTGAACCACCAACCTTCTGGTTAACAGTCAGACCCACTGACCCACTGTGCCACCACAATCACTTGGTTCCATTTTATGTTTTCATGTCCTCGGTCAGAAACATTTGAGAAATAAACTTTATATTTCTTATTTATGTATATATTTTGAGGCTTAGGCAAGGAAGAAAATGCTTGCTTCTGCAAAGGAGTGGCAAAATCCTCTCCTCCCATCTCAAGCATTTCTGAGCCAACAGCTGACAGATGGATGAGGGGAGTCAGTCCTGTTCCACCTGCTAATGGATATGAGCCACTCCTGATTGTCACCTTCCTGGCATGAGGCCCACGTCCACCATTTGAAATGCTAAGATTTTAAAGAGTTTTTATTTTTAAACTGTGAATCATACTCATGAGCAGCATCTGACAGATCAGAGGATGGTAAATAAAAACAAGAAGGAGAAAAAAAGGGTGGAAGGCCATCAATTTCCTGCCAAGAAAAAACAAAACACAAAACTTTTGGAAACTTGAAAAAGACACGTTTCACAACAGCTTTGATTCACACTGATCACTAAGAAATCCTGACAGTTCTGCAGCAGTGTGCTGCCAAATGGAAGATTTGGGACAAGACAACAATCTAGTGCAGTGTGTCACCATGGTATGCTTCCTCTCCTGCAAAGGGATCTGAGAGAGCCAGCTGTCACTGCCCCTCTAGCAAGCTGACTAATGATCTGCCTTGGCTGTCAGAAGCAGGGCTAGCTGTCTGTCACAAAGTGATAGGAATTAACGCCAAGCAAAAGTTGTCTACAAACTAAGGATTGGGGTAGGGAACTTGTGCCTTCCTGCATGCTGCCACTGCACATTTATGGCACTTATCTGTGATTGTGATTGTTGCTTCATATTGTGTCATCCATGAATGTTGTGTGAGATAACCACTCCTTGCCTCAACAGGCTTACAAATTGAGAGACAGAAACAAAGGAGACAAGAGAGAAAGGAGCGGAAAATGGAGTCAAACATCAGAAAAATTCCAAGGGAAGCAAAATGAGTTTTTCATAGGGCTTTCACGTATCTATTTTTGTTGTCAATAATACAGGGAGACTCAGTCAGCATCACTTCAAATCATCAGTTGACATGACTCCAAATAACCCTCCCGGCAGCTCCCTATTTCCACAAAACATCGTTTCCTTCTCACATCAGCTACTGTTTTAGAAAATATAATGGGATTATTTTCTGAAAATAGAAGTAAAAAGCTCTCATCCTCCGTCACTTTTCAATCAAGAGAATGAAGTGGGGGAGGAGAGAGAGATGCTTGTTAGAGACATATTGTTTCTGATCAATGATCCCCAACACATTTTAATTAAGAAAGATAAGTAAGCAATATGAACTGTTCAAATGAGCTTTCTTAGCTCTCATGCAACTCATAGATTGAACTTCAGAAAGAAGGTTTCTAGTTGAATTTCACAAAACCAAACTAACTCCAAAATATAATCTGGTACAAGCTGTACACTAATTCACAAAATAATATCACATGTGTTGGTATGATCCTTACACAGAATTTTGAGGAATATCAAATCTGCTCCATGTTTCAAGATTACCAAGAAAAACAGTTACCATGTGCACATGCATGTCTGTGTGCAGTCTTATGCCTGACACTTGTGGCAAATTCCTAGCCAATTCCCAGAATTTGCCAGGAGGATGCATGTGACATGGTCCAAGACCATGTCACATTGGCTGAGCAGTTGCACTGGCATGTTCCAGGATGCCCAGTTCAAGATTCTTGGCTATGTCTCTGTCTCTCTCACCCACCACAAGATTATTTGCCTCCTTTTTATTCTATTAATACCAGTTTTTGCCCTCTGAAGAGTTCTGTGAAACTAAGAAGTTTGTTCCATCTTTCAATTTTGATTGGTCCAGTGAAAGTACTATCACATGCCTATCTGACTTTCTTTAGTAGTTTTAAATAAATGGCAGGATAAAACCCTAACAGGCTTGAGCTAAGCATGCACTTCCTCTTTGTGTAGCCTTGACTAGGTGATATTTGGAACTCTTGGATCTGACATTGTTGGGGGACTTTTATAGTACTGTATGCACTCTGCAACACTAAATGTAAATATAAATACATGTAGGCATCCCAAATTCTATGACAACAAAAGCTGAATTTTGTGACCTTTATAAATAATGCATTGCTTGGGCCCATCCATCCTCCCATTTCTGCCATGATTTCAATGCACAGATCTGGGATTGTAGGCATGGTTATTTTCCTCCCACCACTTTTTCTGGGAAAACCTGCTGTTCACTCCTCAATTGGGTTTTCCTCAGCTTGACATTACTTTGTCCTGATTCAACAATAAACAGTGGGTTTTCTAAGGGAAAGCGGAAGGAAAAAACACCACTTGGGTTCTGTGGCTAGAAACCGTGGCACAAATGGAAGTGTGGCTGAGCCCTTTATTATGCAATGTTGCACTCATGAAGCCTTTTACACAAGTCCATAGCTCTCCTTGCCCATGGAAGCAAAGCCTAAGGATGAGTAACAGAACAGATGTACATCCCTCCTCTATTCATCCCTTCTCCATTTTATCCTCTCCCTCCCTTGGCTTTTAGACTGCAGGTTCTCCTCGGGGCAGGGACCGGTTTTCTCATTGTTATGCTGCACATTGATGGCACCACGCATGCAAGCAAATAATAAAAATGAGGACCATCAACCCGCCCCAAAAAGCAGACTGAGATTTTTAGGGTGCTGACTTCTGAGGCCAATATTATATCCTGACTACATTTCCTGAGCTCTCAAGGATTCAGGGAGCTTATTTGTAGCTTAGATCAGGGATAGCCTACATGTTCACACTCCAGAGTTTATGAACTCCCTCCCATCAGTCCCTGCCAGCATGGGCAACGGTTGAGAATGACGGGAGCTGTAATTTAACATCTGGAGGGCAACACATTAGCCAGCCTTGACCCAGACAAAATCACGGGCCTTTTAAAGACAATTAACTACAAGTAGAGAAAAATTAATTGGAAACCTCAAAATAAATGCATCTCATATATTATAGATACAATATATATGACTTTTTATAGTTAATTCAAAATGTGATGCAGGATATATAAACTGTATATGCATCTTTGTAACTTTGTTCAAATGCTACAACTGAACTGGCAGATGCAAAGATGTGCATTAGGAGATGGTAACTTCAAGTTTCAGACACCTCTCAGATCTAGCCAATTATCTTCAACATCTAAGAGTGAAACTAAATTTAGATAAAAGCTGTAGGGGCAACAGGATTGGGACCAGAACATGTGGGGAAGGCTTTTCCCCAACCCTTTCCTCCTGTGTCATAAACCCAGAGCAAATAATCTCCTAGAAGCTACTGTTGGTACCAGAGGCCTTTACAGCCCTGACCAGCCAAGGCCAAACGTTACCCGTCAACCATGAATTGTGGCTTGCTAGGTGCCGGATACCCCTCCCCCTGTTTCTTTACTTCCAGGAAGGCAACAAAAGCAAAAGTCTTAAATAGGGTCCCTGAGGCAACAATATATGGCTGTTGGACTGCAAGTGGCTTGGTGAGTTACCATAAACAATTGTTCTAGTCTGAACCAGTGTAGAAAATGCCAGGGATATCGGTGGAAAATTCACATGAAACAAGTCCTGAAAATTATGCTGTAACATGCTTACCGACATATCCTGGGGTGCCACATGCTGTGGACATGACGTCGCCATTACCTTCCATTTTTGACAGTCCAAAATCACTTATCATTATTTTAGATTCTTCATCTTGGCTGTAGTACAACAGGTTTTCAGGCTGCAGGGATATTAAGAAAACAAACCTAAGACATGAATATTGGGTTAAATAATGTATCTCTCTATTTCATATGCCATCCAGTTTCTTAATATAATAATTCTTTTAAATCTCTACTTGCCAGATGTATGGTTTAGCACGAAAATGTCTTGGGACAACTTACTAAGACACAGGATGTCATTGAGTAGTGTGAGCAGATGCAAGTGGGGATCAGGCTCTTGAACTCTTAGTTGTGTCTGACATATGGTTGTCAAGCCTCTGCTTAAAGACCTCCAAAGAAGGAGACTCCACCACACTCCTTGGCAGCAAATTCCACTGTCGAACAGCTCTTACTGTCAGGAAGTTCTTCCTAATGTTTAGGTGGAATCTTCTTTCTTGTAGTTTGGATCCATTGCTCCGTGTCCGCTTCTCTGGAGCAGCAGAAAACAGCCTTTCTCCCTCCTCTATGTGACATCCTTTTATATATTTGTACATGGCTATCATATCACCCCTTAACCTCCTCTTCTCCAGGCTAAACATGCCCAGCTCCCTTAGCCGTTCCTCATAAGGCATCGTTTCCAGGCCTTTGACCATTTTGGTTGCCCTCCTCTGGACACGTTCGAGTTTGTCAGTGTCCTTCTTGAACTGTGGTGCCCAGAACTGGACACAGTACTCCAGGTGAGGTCTGACCAGAGCAGAATATAGTGGCACTATTACTTCCCTTGATCTAGATGCTATACTCCTATTGATGAGGCCCAGAATTGCATTGGCTTTTTTAGCTGCCGCGTCACATTGTTGGCTCATGTCAAGTTTGTGGTCAACCAAGACTCCTAGATCCTTTTCACATGTACTGCTCTCAAGCCAGGTGTCCCCCATCTTGTATTTGTGCCTCTCATTTTTTTTGCCCAAGTGCAATACTTTACATTTCTCCCTGTTAAAATTCATCTTGTTTGTTTTGGCCCAGTTCTCTAATCTGTCAAGGTCGTTTTGAAGTGTGATCCTGTCCTCTGGGGTGTTAGCCACCCCTCCCAGTTTGGTGTCATCTGCAAATTTGATCAGGATGCCCTTGAGTCCATCATCCAAGTCGTTGATAAAGATGTTGAATAAGACCGGGCCCAAGACAGAACCCTGTGGCACCCCACTAGTCACTCTTCTCCAGGATGAAGAGGAACCATTGATGAACACCCTTTGGGTTCGGTCAGTCAGCCAGTTACAAATCCACTGAGTGGTAGCATAGTCAAGACCGCATTTTACCAGCTTCTTTACAAGAATATCATGGGGCACCTTGTCAAATGCCTTGCTGAAATCAAGGTAGACTACATCCACTGCGTTCCCTTCATCTACCAGGCTTGTAATTCTGTCAAAAAACGAGATCAGGTTAGTCTGACATGACTTATTTTTCAGAAATCCATGCTGACTATTGGTGATCACAGCATTCCTTTCTAGGTGCTCACAGACTGTTTGCTTAATGATCTGCTCCAGAATCTTCCCTGGTATTGATGTCAGACTGACTGGGCGGTAATTATTTGGGTCCTCTCTTTTCCCCTTTTTGAAAATAGGGACAACATTTGCCCTCCTCCAGTCTGCCGGGACTTCGCCTGTTCTCCAGGAATTCTCAAAGATGACTGCCAGTGGTTCTGAAATCACATCTGCCAGTTCTTTTAATACTCTTGGATGCAGTTCATCTGGCCCTGGAGACTTGAATACATCTAGACTAGCCAAGTATTCTTGTACTATCTCCTTAGTTATTCTGGGTTGTGTTTCCTCTGCTGAATCATTTGCTCCAAATTCTTCAGGTCGGGCATTGTTTTCTTTATCGGAGAAGACTGAGGCAAAGAAAGCATTGAGGAGTTCAGCCCTTTCTGTGTCCCCTGTTTGCATTTCACCATCTTCTCCTCTGAGTGACCCCACGGTTTCTTTGTTCTTCCTTTTGCTACGAACATACCCATAAAAGCCTTTTTTGTTGCTTTTAACCTCTCTAGCAAGCCTGAGTTCATTTTGTGCTTTAGCTTTTCTGACTTTGTGTCTACACGTGCTGGCTATTTGTTTGAATTCCTCTTTGGTGGTTTCCCCCCTTTTCCATTTTTTGTACACATCCTTTTTTAATCTTAACTCAGTTAAAAGTTCTTTAGATAGCCACCCTGGCTTCTTTAGGCACCTTCCATGTTTCTGTCTCATTGGTATTGCCTGAAGTTGTGCTTTTACTATCTCCCTCTTAACAAACTCCCAGCCATCTTGAACTCCCTTTCCTTTTAGTATTACTGTCCATGGGATCTCACCCAGCACTTCCCTAAGCTTTATGAAGTCGGCTTTCTTAAAGTCGAGAAATTGAGTCCTAGTATGCTTGGCTGCTCCTTTCCGCTGTATAGTAAACTTCAGAAGAGCATGATCACTCGCGCCTAATGATCCTTCCACTTCTACCCCACTAACCAGGTCATCAACATTGGTTAGGACCAGATCTAAAATGGCTGTTCCTCTTGTTGCTTCTCCCACTTTCTGGACAATGAAGTTGTCTGCAAGGGCAGTGAGGAATCTGTTTGACCTTATGCTCTTGGCTGAGTTTGACATCCAACAAATATCAGGGTAATTGAAGTCCCCCATTACTACTATCTCCCTTCCTTTTGCATGCTTGGCCATCTGTTCCAGGAAGGCATCATCTATGTCCTCCGTTTGGCTTGGGGATCTATAGTAAACTCCCACAATGAGGTCACTGTTATTCTTCTCTCCCTTAATTTTCACCCAAATGCTCTCACTTTGGCTTTGAGGTTCTAAATCTTGGATCTCTTCACAGGTATACACATCCCTGACATATAACGCCACTCCTCCTCCTTTCTTGTCTGGTCTGTTTCTTTGAAATAGATTGTATCCCTCCATTATTACATTCCAATCGTGGGATTTATCCCACCAGGTTTCAGTGATTCCTATTATGTCATATTTAGTGTGCTGTACCAGGAGCTCAAGCTCATCTTGTTTATTTCCCATGCTTTGCGCATTAGTGTACAGACATTGAAGTCCATTAATCATTCCCCCGTGTCTCTTATTTAAGGATTTTTTCCTCCCACCACTAGGTCTGCATGCTCTTTGCTCCATTCGGTCTATGACATTTGGATGATCATCTTCATCAATTGATAGACTCCTACCTTCAGGAGCACTGTCTCTTGTAGTTCTTTTGTTTTTTACCTTTAACAGCAATGCAGAAGGTGGAATTTTTTTCAGGTGCAACTGATTGGAACAGTAGCTGATGATATTCCTCTCTCCATATAATTATAAAAGGTAGAGGAGCCTCATACTCTTTTGCATTTAAGTCATCCTAGGTAAGGTGGGCTGTCATCTTTTTCTGACCAGACTCCTTTGCTTCTAACAGCTGCAGTGAAGCAGACATTCAACAGAAGGAGTGTTCTCCACATCAAAGACTGTGGATTTCTGCCCCCATCACACAAGCATGAAAGATTCAGTAATTTGGTCGGAAAAAAGGTTGAAGTTTGGCGGCATTTGGTCTTCTATTCACTTTCAAGCAAAGATGCACCTGCACCTCCTTTTTTACCTAATATGTTTCAGAAACATCTGGCACAGATTGCACCACATGGCAGGTGTGTGTGTGTGTTGCAGCCCTTCTGAGGCACAAACAGCAGCAATACTGCAACTGCAATGAAGTTTCACAAAGAAATCAACCAAGGACTCCTATAGAGAAAACTTCTAGGTCCGGTTGAAAGGAAGCAAGTTCTTCATGTTACAACAGTGTCATACACAACATTGCCCCCCCCCCCCGCTTTCAGGACCAGACTGAAGGCTGGGGACAACTGTAAGTGGTGAGTGGCGGCCAAACCTCTGGCTTAAAAAGGTACCCAGGTACACTTCACAAACACTGAATTCATCTCAGGATGGTTCTGTGCAGCCTCCTGAGGCATCATACAGAGGCAGGGTTCAGTAGCAAGGTATAGAAACACAAGGCAAACTACTTGAGAGAAACGTTTATACAGGCAGAAACACCCGTGGAGGCAAAGGTATGGCTAATGAAGCAAAAATAATCTGTTGTATTCAATAAAATTGTATCCCTATATTCATTTGTGTTCAAGTGATTGAAAAGGATGCTGAGTACCTGAAATAATAAAAATGGGGACTGAAAGTGTTTGGTGGAGCAGAGGTGCTGTATTCTCTGCTCCAGAGAAGCGGACACGGAGCAATGGATCCAAACTACAAGAAAGAAGATTCCACCTAAACATTAGGAAGAACTTCCTGACAGTAAGAGCTGTTCGACAGTGGAATTTGCTGCCAAGGAGTGTGGTGGAGTCTCCTTCTTTGGAGGTCTTTAAGCAGAGGCTTGACAACCATATGTCAGGAGTGCTCTGATGGTGTTTCCTGCTTGGCAGGGGGTTGGACTCGATGGCCGTTGTGGTCTCTTCCAACTCTATGATTCTCTTTCTCTCTCTCTCTCTCACTCCTGGTATGAAGTAAGCCTCCCATTAAATTGCCAGGCAGTTATATTCATGCAAATCTGGCTTCAGATCAACATCAAACCCCCAAAGGCTGATCTGCTATGAAGTGTGTAACCTGCTACACATTCTTTTAATAATTCATTAACATCCAATGAAACATTTCCTTAACACAAACACTTTGGAGAATTTTGATTTTCCTTCTGGGTCTGCTACATCACCACTGTTTGGGGTCCTTTTCTTTGGTCAGACACTGTGCAGCCTCTGTTTAATGAACTTACTGTATTTTTCGCCCTATAGGACGCACTTTTCCCCCTCCAAAAATGAAGGGGAAATGTGTGTGCGTCCTATGGGGCGAATGCAGGCTTTCGCTGAAGCCTGGAGAGCGACCCCTCACGCTCTCCAGACTTCAGGAAGCTCTTGGCAAGCCGTGGGAGAGCTGGGCGAAGTCGCGCAGCTCTCCCACCTCTTGCGGATAGCAGCCTGTTCTGGGGGATGGGGTCGGGGGAAGCTCGTGCTTCCCCAGCCCCATGCCTGGGGGGGAAATATATTTTTTTTCTTTATTTCCCCCCAAAAAACTAGGTGCGCCCTATGGGCCGGTGCGCCATATGGGGCGAAAAATACGGTAGTGTGTTCCTGGAAGCTACCTTGCAGGATTAGGCCTTGGAACACATTTCAATTCATGCACAGAGAGGTGGTCAGCATTTCCCATAACAGTAGGGACAGAGATACCAAGAAAGTGGTACAAATTACTACCATAATTTTACATATTCCTTTTATAAACCCAACATATATTCCAGCCAGGAGATTCCAAGAAATGACAAGAAACAGATGGAATGATTTAATACTGCTGCATTCCCTGGTCAAAACCCAAAGCTGATGTAAAGAGCTGCACCACCATTTAAGGCGTCATCATCATATTATGACAGAATTCAAAACTGTGCCTTGCAGCCTAAGTCAGGCAGGCATTTCTAGCGGGTGGATTCAGGTGTCTGTGGATGCAGCCACAGACTTTTCAGAATTATTGGGTCGTTATATAAACTCCCAAGTCATTTGCAAATTAATTCCTTTTCATGCTCCTTCTTTGAGTCACATTTCATAGTTCTCTTTGGCATGTGCTGCTAATAAGCTTAAGCTGTTTAAAAAACATAGCAAGGAATTCCTTTAGGTACAAAATGTAGAAGATTTAAAATAGCTTATCCAGACCATTGTCTGAATTACTTGAGTTTGCTCTTCAGAGCTTCTGTGTCAGGAATAATTCTTATAAGCTATTTCCTGCAAATCACATTATTTTAGGATAAGCCTGGGTTTGCAAAGAAGATACTAAGCAACTAATTCTTGAGCTGAATTGAACTAACAGTCTAACAAACAGGACATGTAAAATTACTAACAGCCCAGCTTCTCCTCACACTCCTTTTATTCCCAACAGGCATGAACTCCTGCCAATACAGTGTCCCAAATTTTTATAGTACCAGCTGCTATGGCACAAACAGCTACAATCATAAATAACCATGGAAGGTCATGATGGAGGATGGGAAGGTTTTCCCAAGAACATCCAGGGAAATGCTAAAAGTCTCTTAAAGTTGCCTGCATCTGCAGCCACAGAGGTATTGCTGATGAGACACGAGACCCATAAGAGAGAGCCTTCTGCAGAGTTTCACATTATGTATGACACTGGGTCATGCTTAGTTCGCCCCAACCCGCTCCATAATATTATTTCATTCATTCAGCAGACACATTATCGTATGCTTTAGCTCCCAAAGTGCTTACTTAAACATTTAAATTGCAGTTACACAAAAAACTAAAACAACAATGCAAACTGAACAGCTAAGATTCCAGCATGAATCAAAACTGATTGGCTTAAAAGGTGTATTTTATTCTCCTGGCACCAAAAAGAAGCCAGATGCCAAATGAGCATCCCTGTAGTGGAAGCACCAAAGACACCATGGATTGGATCCAGATGTCTGTTGATTTCAGCCCCACTGAAATCAATGGGGCAATTTAGTCATGACTGAAGTCCCACTGATTCAATGAATAGTGCAAAGTGAAACTAATTTAATATGGATCCAAACCCCATGGAATTGCCAGCCACTAGTGCAGGGTGGTAGAAAGGGGACAAATTGTATGATGGCATGGCACCATGCAGTGAATTTCATAAGATGGTTCTTTTTTGCCAACTAATTTTCATTAGTTTTCAAAAAATTTAACGAATTTACATCCAATTAATACAATTTAATACAAATTTAAAGTTGACTTCCCACCCTGTTTCTGCAGTGTTTCCCCTCCCTTCTTGCTGCATCATAGCACATACTTTGTTCTACTTCCCAATCCTTTACTTAAAATAGTTTAACATTTTATCATTAATTATTTTTTCCTTTACCCTTTTCCATAAGCTGTTCATATTTCAGTTATTGCTAGTACTATTATTTAACTATAACATATTTTTGATAAATCCAGTCATAGAATCATAGAATGGTAGAGTTGGAAGGGACCCCCAGGGACATCTAGTCCAACCCCCTGCAATGAGGGAATCTCAGCTAAAGCTCCCAAGACATATGGCCATCCAGCCACTGTTTAAAAAGCTCCAAGGAAGGAGAATCCACGATCTCCGGAGGGAGACCCTTCCACTGTCAAACAGCTCTTACTGTCAGAAAGTTCTTCCTGATGTTGAGTCGGAATCTCCTTTCTTGAAACTTGAAGCCATGGGCAGGAGAAAACAAGCTTGTTCCCTCTCCCATGTGACAGCCCTTGAGATATTTGAAGATGGCTACCCTATCTCCTCTCAGTCTCCTCTTTTCCAGACTAAACAGACCCAGCTCCAAAAAAAGCAGTAAACATCCTTCAAACTTCACCAACACACGACAGGATTGTTCCTGAAACCTTTTTCAACACCATATCAATAAGGGTGCCTTTTAAACTTTTAACCAATTATCTGAAATAAAAGGGGATCGGTCACTCACACAACCAGTGTCTGAGGCTTTTCTCTGGCATGGATGAAGTCGTGCCTCCAGCAAAGAGTTCCACCTCCACTGATGACAGAAGCAGGCTTCAAACGGTGTCCGTGGGTTCACATCATCCCCCCCCCAACTGCCCAGATGAGCCTCCTCTACCCCCTTCCCGCCAACCAGGCCTCCCCGGGGCTCCAGAGAGCCTCAGGGCAGCTACTTCCATCTCTGTGGCCAGAAATGGAAGTCTGAATTTCATCAGATGTTATTAGAGGATTGGGAGAACTAGACATGGCCTTGTTCTTTTTGGTGACAGCCCTTTGGAACACCTGATTCTACTCCCAAAGACATGGGAAACTTTGAAACAAGAAACTGAGAAAGAACAAGGCTTATAGTGTCAACAGCTGTTTCTGATGGTATAATATAGATCTGTCCTGTTAGCAAATTACCTTACCTTGAGGTCTCTGTGAACAATGCCCATTCTGTGAAGATAATACACAGCGTCTAACACCTGCCGTATCAGAGTGCTGGCATCTTTCTCAGTGTAAAATCCTTTCTCTACGATGCGGTCAAATAGTTCACCTCCGGACACACTGGAAAAAACCATAAGGCATGGTAATGTTAATATAGGTTAGACAAAAAATGGCAGGAAATTTAAAAGAAATAGAATCCTTTCTTTAGCCATTTCTTTCTTATGCATACATTCATGTTGATCTAGATTAGGATTATAAAACAGAGCTGAGAACTGGAATTTCCCCATTTACTAAAACGAACGACCTTTTCTATTATTCTTCCTTGTTTGTTCTACATTGCTTTCATATTGATTCTTTAACTGTGATTGCAGGGGTTGGACTAGATGACCCTTTGGATTCCTTCCAGCACTATAATTCTATGATTCTATTATTTCCTAGAAAATACAGTACATGCATTCAAATTGATGCTGATTTCTCTCTATTACAATGGTGAAACAATGGGAATGAAAAGGTCAGAAGATAACAGCAACAGCACCCCACCCACCAAGATTCACACACACTGCTTCAAAATATGAAAAGTGTTTTGCATTAAAAGGATTCATCTGAAATTTTCCACAACTGATACTACTAATAATGGATTGATATGTTCACCTGGTACTCAGAAAGAACTTAAATAATGTATTAAAAGTCCAAAATACATTTCAGCAAATCAAGGAAGATGCTCACATTTTTGCTTAAACTCACTGAAGATTGGTGAATTAGAAACACAATGAAGGGATTGGGAAGAAGCAGAGATTGTATATTTTAGTTCCAGAAGAGAAGTTGTCTTTGGGGCTGGTTCATACATGATGGTATCTTTTCAAAGTCCATGTAGTCAGGTTTTTTGCTCTGTGTGTGCTGTACAAAAAAATACAACCATGTACAACCAGCAAACGACACAGGACACACGTGAACTCCATGTGAGTTCTTGCCTGAAAGTGCCTTCCGTGTTTGAAATATTTTATATATATATTATTAGCCCTTAGCAGCGACATAGCTAGGGGGGTTGCCATTTACCTTTGGGGCAGAAAGCCAGAGCTCAAGGTGGCACCACTTGCAAAGGCAGGGCATTCTGGGGCTGGACTTGCAGGGTGCCAGAGCCACCGTGACCCGAAAAAGCAGTGCAGGGCTGGCGCACGCCTGGCACATCCCCCTCAGCTGCCCTCCAACTGGAGGGAACATGAGAGGGACGCAGGTGCTCTGGTGGCGTGCCCTGCCCCCATGGCAAGGCTGGCCCTTAGCTTTTGGTAGCAGAGAAGAGGAGGAGGAGGAGGAGGAGGAGGAGGAAGAAGAAGAAGAAGAAGAAGAAGAAGAAGAAGAAGAAGAAGAAGAAGAAGAAGAAGAAGAAGAAGAAGAGTGTTTGTTGTGGCACCTTGTGAACAGAATTCCTTGTGAAGTCATAGACAGCATGCTAATTTGTCAGATATTTTATTTACTTTCTGACTGACAACGTGAATCAACATATTTACTTTAGCTAGCCAATGCCAATGCCAGCTCCCCCTTCCTTACTGTGTTTTGTCACTAGCTGTGTTTTCTTATTCACACAACTTGTCTTCCCCATTTTTACCAGGTTCTCCTCTTACGACAGCTCTGGAAAAACTGCACTCTACCTGTAATGTTACCAAGGGATCAGGCTCTGCTGAGTTTTCCTTAGTCCCTCCCTTGACCCCTTTACTGGCGCAGGGGCTAGCTCAAGAAAAGACCCTGCCCTCCACCAAATACTCACAGAAAGGTAGCCAAAGGAGTGAGCCAAGCCAGAAATCGAAGGCACAGGGGGAAACTGGGTGTATTGCATAATGTGTAGAGATGCTTAGAGCAACTGGCATTCCTCATCTCCCAGGAGATTTTGCAGCATTAGTATTTCAAGAGCAGGAGCAAATGAATCCACACTCACTTCAGAGTGCCATCATTCACTGTGCTATTACTTGTGCAAGACAATTATGTTACCTTTGGGCTTAGAATGTCCTTCACAGACCACAGAAGAAGCTAATAGTTGTGAACATGGTTTCTCACCACCTGCCAATTGCTGCAGAGGAAGGACAATACTGTGCAAAGGTAACTAGAATGCAAGTGGCCTAATAGGAAACTTAAAATATGACTTTTCATTCTTCTGCAAGAAATAACACGATGAGGAGTTCTAGAAGTGTTTTAAATGAAGAACAGACTTGGGAGGTTGTGGACTGCTTCCTTGGAGGTTTTTAAGCAGAGATTGGATGGCCACCTGTCATGGATACTTTAGTTGAGATTTCTGCATTGCAGGGGGTGGACCCTTGGGTCCCTTCCGCTACAATTCTAAGATAGTCACATGCCCTTTAAAACCCTGCAGCAGGAGCATTCCATGAAACAAAGGAGAGGAAAAAACCTTACTCATCCGATGAGGCCATACAACTGTCTGGGGAAGAAATGTTATTGATGCAAGGGGTTAAATGAAATATTTCAATTTTTTTAAACAGGAAAAGGATATTTAAAAACACAAAATTAATCTGATAGGTCTTCCGCAAGCTGTACCACTCGGCACAAAAAATAACACACTGAAGCCAACTTTAACCAATTCATCATCATCAGGGGAGTATAATAAACTGCCAGCATCCCAGAAGGCTAATAGGCTGGTTGCTTTTCTTTGCAGAGACAAGAGGGAATTCTAAAACATAGCCATGCCAACCAATTTTTCATTTGACGAGTGGCAAGGGCCACTTCCCAAGGAAGTCAGAATGGTGGCCAGCACAGCATATTTACACAAAATAAATACATCAGATTCATACCTGTTCAAATGTCTAAAAGGTGAAGAGTTACCAACAGAGGACAAAAGACTTTTCACGTATGCAACGAAGGCAGTGAGAATGCCTCTAGCCCAGAGATGGAAGGATGGAGAAGTACCAGCAAGAGAAGAATGGCAGACTAAACTGATGGAGTATGCAGAGATGGCTAAACTGACGGGGAAGATCAGAAACCAGGAAGATCAAGTATTCCTAAAAGACTGGAGTAAATTTTTAATATATTTTAAAGACCACTGTAAACAGTTAAAATCATTGGCAGGGGTGTAATGACACTTGTAATGTGGAATCAATTGTGGTAACTATGGATGTACAACTGTTGGATAGTGGTAAAAGATGCAGAATAAGGTACCCCTGCCCGTACGGGCCAGTCGTGTCCGACTCTAGGGTTGTGCGCCCATCTCACTTAAGAGGCCGGGAGCCAGCGCTGTCCACAGACACTTCCGGGTCACGTGGCCAGCGTGACAAAGCTGCATCTGGCGAGCCAGAGCAGCACACGGAAATGCCGTTTACCTTCTCGTTATAAAGTGGTCCCTATTTATCTACTTGCACTTAAGGGTGCTTTCGAACTGGTAGGTGGGCAGGAGCTGGACTGAAAGACGGGAGCTCACCCCACCGCGGGGATTCGAACCGCCAACCATACGATCGGGAAGTCCTAGGCACTGAGGTTTTGCCCACAGCGCCACCCGCGTCCCCCGAAAAAGATGCAGAATACTTTATTTTAAATATGGAACACATGGAGGGAGGGAAGGAGGTCCAAAGGTTTGAAAGAACCTTTTACTTTAATATTTGAAATGGTTAAAGTTAAAGTGTATAAAACTATGTAAAACCAATATATGTGCTTGCTCCAGTCCGCTTGCTTACAATCAATCCTCCACTTTCGAGGATTGTAAAGGCTGGTGGGAATGCTGCATCAGAGATCTCTAGTCCCTTAATTAAACTACAACTCCAAGGGTTCCTTGAAACATTAGCCTTGATAGTTTTTTATGATAATCAATTTATTAAAAGTTTTCAAAGTAAAATACAATAAAAGTCAAACTAATCTAGAGAAGATCAATAAGAAAAATGCAAGAATGAGAAAAAGAAGAAAATAAAGAAAAAGAAGGAAGAAAATAAAGAATACAAAGCCCCCTGCCAAAATTATATCTTAACCCTCATTCCAGACACAGCTCTCCCCTGGGAGCCCCCCGCCCCTGGAGATCCTCTCTTCCCTGCCTCTCATGCAGGGACCTCCATCTCCCACCCATCACCTTCCTGTGTGTAGCTTATCCAAAACAGGGAACTTCAAAAAACAAAACATACATAGAGATAGAATTAACAGAACAAAACCAAAAATTAGAGATCATAGAAAAGAAAAGAAATAATAAAAAGGCCTCCAATTCTCTGTCTGCCAAATTATCTATATGACAATTATAAAAAATATTCAAAGTATATACTCCAGGGTAACATCTAGCTGTATTAACGTCCAGATGTTTCTCAATCTGCTAGGCATGGTTTTCTCCATCTTCAATGCCAGACATCTCAAATTTGCTTTTTTCCACACAAAAAGTTCAAAAGAAGCTCTTCAGTTATTATTATCATTAAATATCCAAAATAGTCTTTCGGTCCAATATGATGAATTTCTCCTCAAGGGTTCTGACAAATCTTAACAGTATAGGAGTTCATAGTTATTTACTTGTGTCTTCATTATGTTATACCCAATTCCATGTATTCTAGTCATTTCCTGTGGCCATGCTTCACCCTGGTTTAAATTTGTACACATGGCCCTTTCTCTCTCGCCTCCATATCTGCCATCTTAATTATTTCTTAATGCCTCTATTCATCATCTCTTTCAGAATCACAGCAGCATCCTTTGTTTGTTCTGCCATCTCAGGTTGTTTCTTAATTCCAATTGTCTCTTCCGGCATCACAACAGCATCCTTTGTCTGTTTCAATCTGCCAGACAGTTATTACTAACCAAGATATATACTTTGCTTATCTTCAATCACCACATAATTATCTCTGCTGGCAGGAGTGTCAGCAGCCAATGACTAGTCTGCCACTCTCCTCTCTGGAAGTTAAGAAATTTGAAAACAGTTTACACTGGGAGTGTACACACACCATAGATCACCACTGAACAATTCACAGGTCTTCTAGGGAAACTATCACAGACCCTAACATAGAAATTAACAAGGGGATGAGGTCTCATTTTATTAATCTCAGTCTTGGGCTCACTCTGGCAAAAGCCAGGGTTCATGGACTCCAACACTGGTCAGCTGCATCCTCTTAAAAACTTTTTTAAAGGGCAGCATCACTAAGTCCAGTGTG